TTAAGTATATGTAATACATATAGTTAAGAGTATATTATTAAGCATAGTTAACATGCGTTAAAACAAGTTCAGACAGAAATATTTATACAGAAAAAGGTCCAAATTAAGACTGAAACGTTTGATAATATTGTATCACTTAATAAAGCAATAATCAAAATACAACCACATTATGCATATTGCTCGTATAGTTTTTCATTCTTATTTGAATTTTAACGAGTACATCTAAAATAGTTAACATTCAATAAAAAAATTAATTTAAAAAAATTTTTTTGCGCTGAATCTTTTTCAGATATCATATCACTATTTTGAAGAAGGAAACGGAAAGGTATTAATATTAATAAAAGTTGGAAATGCAACGAATTAAATATTTTCTTTATGATTAAACATTATAATAACTTTTATAGGTCGAATTTATCTAGTATATATATATATACTAGATAAAAGTTCGAGGTTTAATGGAGGAGTTCTCGCAGTAATATAATCTATTTTGTGAGGCTCTATAGGTTTAAAGTAGTATTTCAACATCAAATTATAGGAGATCAAGTTTTAAAAGAGGAGGTTAACCTATTCTAGGTTCTAATTCCGTAAAAATAGGTTCATATAGGCTGTATGAGCATTAAAAGAGACGCTAAATTTTGACTCGGGAAAGTAATATACAGAAACTTACAGATTGCCGATCTCATGAACAGCAGCACGAGACGTTGCAAAAGCCGAGTGTTTGCTTTCATTGAAACCGAATTCTACTATGACGCATGAATTGAATGGGACACATGCGCCATTCCTGAAAGATTCTGCCATGGGAGAATAGTACTTTTGTTGGTTATACTTTGTATATATATTTATTCCGGTTAGGTAAAGATTTATGTCCCAGTGACGAGGATCATTGTCTTCTGGAGGATTTTGTGTTGTCGCGTATTTGCAGAACGAATCAAGCAGTTTTGCACTGTCGTCAATCGTGCCTGGCAAACTTGATGGTTGTTTTTCCATAATTTCCAATCGTACTAACAATATATCAAGTAAAGTACCAAAACTTGGATGATGGAACATGGCTTGAATTTGGTTCACATATGCTAGTATTATATTGCGTAACTCTTGCTTATTATTGTCCAGAAAAAGGCATGTACATATGATATGCTGCTTCGTCGAAAAAAACGGCAAGTTTTATGGTTAAATTCTGTCCCGTATTATCATTATCGATGTTTTCTGTTTCTGTGATCATCGATTTTGCTTGATCTCTGAGACACGTTTTTGTTTCCCAGAGTTTTTCAATTTTGTTACGACTATCCTCGGACCATGTTACGTACTTTTGCGAATCGCTAGAACTTCGCTCTTGTGTTAATTCTAAACTGTTGGACAGATAAATCATTAAACTGGAATATATGTTTTACTTTGCATTGTTTAATTGAAATATTCTTAAATATTTTTTTCTTTATTAATAGTTTATATAACAAACAATTAAAAAATGAAATTTTTTTTAAGTGATTGTTTACTTGTTAATTCTATTGTTTTATAGTACAATTGTACAATTAAATAAATTCTATTATATAATGTTATTCATTCTTAATTTATACGCAAAATTAAGTTTTACTCCGGTTAAGTAAACAGCAATATCCCAGAACGCGGATTATTATCGTCCGGGAAATTAAGAGAATTCGCGTATGTGCAGAACAAATCGAGCAATTTGTCAACGTCGTCGTCAAAAAGTGACGAATTTAACAACGATTTTTTCAGAACTTTCAAATTTATTAACGTAATATTGATAAAAACATCCAAACTCGGACGATTAAAAGCAGCCTGGATGCGATTCACGTACGCTAGAATAATATTACGTAACTTATCCTCATCATTGTCCAAAATAGACGTATTATATGCTACTTCGTGAACGAAAACGGCAAGTTCCATGGTTGAATTTTGTTGCGCATTGCGTACGTGACGTCGCCTTAGTTTAAACATGTCCCAGTGGTAAAGATTTAAATCAGCAAAATATTCCATTGATTTTTTAATAACATGAGGTTTGCCAAATGAAAGATTAGATTGTCTTCCAAAATCAAAGATTAAGCACATAGGCGTGAAATCGTTCCGCAAAGGCTGTATCTCTAACGTGTTGTTTTCCACAAAAACAAATCCTTCCTGATTTTAAAAAGATATATTTATTTTTTATGTGTCATTGTATATAAAACGTAAAATAATACAGGTTACTAGTAAACACATAAAAATTTTAAAACTGTTTGTTTTTCATATAATATTACTGACCAATCCATGTTCATGACAAAAGTTGATGGCCGCATAGCTGATATGATCTTTATGATAATAATAGCAAGGATTTGAGTTTAATTCCAACAATTTTTCCGGGACGCTTTTCGCATTATATTTCCATACCCCGAACGCAGAAGATACAATCCGATCGTTTCTACGCAGATTTAGTTGAATCAGTTGTCCAAAAACATTCAATGTTATAAATATCTGTAAATTGGATGGCAGTTATGACAAAAATTTGATAATTCTTTAATAACGATGGTCGAGCAACAAATAGAAAAATACTGTAAAACGCACATATTTCCTTTGCGCTTGTCGGGTTCGATGCCGGTAGCAATATTATTTTAGTATTTTGCGCGAAATACGCGTACGTTTCATTTAATAAAATTATTAACAGCAATTTCAATATCAAAAACATATTAGTTTTTAAGTTTTTCAGTTTTGAATTATATATTTAATAATTTCTATACACACATTAGTAATTTATATACACACATTAGCACTGTCACGTTCATAATATCATGTCTGATCGCTAATAAAACACAACCAGGCGTTTGAAGGAATATCCTTCGTGTGATGTGACACGTATTGTACATTCTCTCTTTGCTACATGTATATATATAAATATTTATGTTGCTACAATCTAATGTTCAGAAATGGTATGTGCGATATCGTTTTAAAAGTTAAATTTATAAAATGTAATTTATCATTAATATGTATAATGTGTAATATTATTCGGAAACGTGAATGTTAAATTCTCAACAATTTGATTTCTAGAAGTCGATAATTAAAGTTGGTACAAAAATTGTTGTTTTATGCAAATTCGTAATGTCTTGTAAATTATATTCCATTATAATTTAGAGTCAATGCAAATCGAACAAAGAAAACAATTAAACAACATAATACATATTACGGCGGACATTGTAAATTAATATTTTTTCACATTTATTCTGTCGAGTAAAATCTGTTTCTTATAAAAAAATTTATAGTGTTAATAAATGTATATTGAACAATAGTATCTTGAGTTAATAAATATGTCGGCAAATAATTATCACTTCTAACATCATTGTAACGTAATGCAAATTTGGCCTTGTGACACGCTCATAAGTGAAATAATAGATTTTTTATTGGCAATAAATAATTTGAGAAATATTCTATTATGGGATACGTAATTTAATATAATACTTATAAATATAGAGAAATCGATATTTTCTGTAACTAATATATATATATATATTTCAACAATACGTTATAAATTTCATGAGATTGGAATTTTAAGTAATCAATGTCCTTATGGGATAAAAACCTACTTATTAATTCGATAGCGCTATTTTTAATGTGTAGAACTTCTTCGGCTGCATTGGTTGTTGCTGTAACGGCGCGCGCGACAAAAAAAGATAAAAAGGTACCAATGACGAAAATCAATTCAGATGTTCAGTTAATTCCGAGCACTGACTTAACCTTCTTTTTTTTAGTTCCATGTCAATGAATAACTATTTTTTTTTTGCAATTACTAACAGTTATCTGGATTTTGGACAGAAATTGTTTTTTATGTCGATAATTGTACATATTTTTTCATGAATAAATTTGCCTTTTACGATCAAAAAATAAATTTGCTGTTTAAAATAAAAAGTAACAATGATAATTCAACGGTTCCTAGGTTTCATACTAAACAAATTGTAAACTGTTTTATATTAACTTATACGCGTTTTGCAATTTTCTGTTAAATCTTTGTCCACACAGGTGGAGGAGCTCTCGATAATTATTCTTCAATTGAATAGTTTTCCGGCAGACAATAATGCTGACGGCAGTAATAATCCTGACCATCCTTGTCGTGACACCACGTTCCATCTGGAAAGTATGGGTCGATACCTAAGTCGAGCATATCCAAGTGTGGCGAGTAGTAATTAAATCCATCGCCTTTTTCTCGACAGTATACGGTACAGGCTCTCCACGGTTTCTGGATAAGGTGAGGAAACTGCCCTCCTGATCCTTTTCCCGGTTTGTACTTCAATCTTTCTACTGTGTAATTTATATCTTCTGTGTATCCCTCTATCATTAAACTGAACTCGGTGCATTGCATGGTAGTATATTCGTTAATTGTTTTGCGTCTAGTGCATAATATGGAGTCATTGCACAGAACCACGTCGTAATATGGCCCGTCACAATTCGACGTTTTGTATGTTTGACGTTTGCAAGAACGTCGTTTGATTATCACGCCTTTGGATTTTGGCAAGCAACTGCTTTTACAGGAGTCTTCTTTCCATTCACTCCAGTTATTTTCAATTTCTTCACAATAATTAAAAATATATGGTGGTTCGATAACAGGCACGCATTCTCCGCCGTGACATTCTTTCCCAAGTGCGCAATGAGTTCCTGACAATAATTGAATAAATTAAAAACTGAAGTATCTAACTTGAAAGAAAGACATACCATCCAGCGCTGGTCCCGCGAAGAAATAATTATTCTTGTGAGGCGTTTCGCATTGTAAGACTTGACAAGTATCATGCAACGTGACTACGTTTGCATCCATGTCACGTAAAAATAGTTCACATTGTGCTTTGGCGGTCCATTCTCTTCCGGGTAAATCAAAGTAATGATCCAATGCAGATCGGTTTTCAATATCGTCTGATTTCATATAATCGAAACAATTATCTGTTTCCCATTTTTCAGTAATGTATTTCCTACTACATTTGGACCATGTTGCCTGGCCCCGATAAAATTTAATATCTGACATTATGTATTTGCCTCTCGGACACGTTTTCGAATCGATAGAGTCTAAATCATGACCAATTCCTAAACTTTTGAACAAATAAACTATTAATTTTGGGAATATACTTAACCTGGCATCTTTTATTTGCAGTATTTTTATATGTTTTGCAATTCATAAAAGATTATACAATTAAAAAATCAAATTGCTTAAAATCTTCTGAGTAGTTTTTGTCTTTTAATTATACAAATAATTAATTCTTATAAAAAATATTATTTAAACCTAATTTATATAAATATTTATATAAAGATTTATATACAACTAGTATAGATAAACTTACAGATAGCCGATCTCATGAGCAGCAATTAGAGCCGATGTAAAACCTGCGGTTACGTCTCCATCTGTAGCACCGAATTCTACTATGGCGCACGAAGAAGGCGTGATATTATACTTGGGTTGTAAACACGCGTCACTAAAAAAAGAATATCCCATGGTAGAATACAATTTTTTATAGTGACGCTCTAAATATATATTTATTCCGGTTAGGTAAAGACTAATGTCCCAGTGATCCTTGTTGCCTATCGGAAAATTGTAAGTATTTGCGTATTCGCAGAACGAAGTGTGCAGTAGATCACCGTTGCCATTAAAAAGTTTCAAATTTTTCGGTTGTTTGTCCATAATTTGTAAATATATAAACGAAATATCAACACGAACACCCAAACTTGCATGATGGAACGCAGCTTGGATACGATTCACGTACACTAATATCACATTGCGTAATTTTTCCGTATCATTATTCAGAAAAGGCATGAACGTATTGTATGCTGCTTTGTCGAAGAAAACGGCCAGCTTTACAGTTAATTTTTGTTCCGTATTTTGTGCATGACGTCGTTTTTGTTTTAAATTGCCTGAATTGCCTAAAAAAGTTGAATTAACAAAATGTTGCAATGATCTTTTAATAAGATGAGGTTTGCCGAATGAAAAATTAACGTGTTCCTTAATGCAAATGTCGTCCATTAAGTTCAAATGCGCAAAGCTATTCCGCAAAGGTCTAATCTCCAATGCGTCGTTTTTGAGAAAAAGAAGTCCTTCCTGTTTTAAAGAATTCACATTTATTTTATGTTATCTTAATGTATATAAAGCAGAAATAAAGGCGGTTAAATGGAGATTAAAACATGAAAGTTTCATAATGAATCGTTTTTTATATTTTATTACTGACCAATCCATGTTCGTCACAAAAGTTTATGGTCGCAGAGCTGACATCATCTTCATGATAATAATAGCAAGGGTTTGATACATTTAATTGCAAGAATTGTTTTGTGATTTTCGCATTATATTTCCATACTGGAAACGTAGGCGATACAATCAGATCGTTTCTACGTAGGTTGAGTTGAATCAATTGTCCGAAAGCTTTCAGAGTTAATGATATCTGTAAATTTGATGACCATTAAGAAAAGATTTGATAATTCTCGAATAATGCTTTGATCGTCGAGCAACAAATAGAATGCTATGTAAAGTGTACGTACCTCCTTTACGTTTGTTGAATTCGATACCGGCAGCAATATTATTTCGGTATCTTGCGTGAAATACGCGTACGATTCATTTAATAAGATTATTACCAGCAATTTCAATATCAAAAACATATTAGTTTTTCAGTTTTAAACTATATATTAAATAATTAATATACACACAGTTAGAGTACTCTCACGTTCGTTAGTCTTATAAGATCGAAATAAAAACACTTACGTACGTGTGTAGAAATAACCTTCGTGTCGTGTGATACATCTTGAGTATTCCCTCTTTGCTACATGTATATGGATAAATCTATATGTTTTTAGAACCTCAATTTCAGAAATGGTACTTATGAAAACGTTGTAAGTTTAGAATTTATCGCAATATGTATGATATGTAACATTATTCGGAAACATGAGAGTTTAATAGTCAACAATTGTATTTCTAAAAGTTGATAATTAAAGTTGGTATAAAAACTTTTATCGCTGCATATCAGTAATGTCATAAAAATTACATTACCATTCAGATGTGAATAAATAGAATTTGACCGATAAAAGGGCAACAATTGAGTAAAATTATATATAACATAAAATATATTAATAAAAAATAAACAATTAAATTTTTAAAGAAAATTATTATTTATTACAATTTTCTACTGAAACATGTTCTGAAATATCTTCACAATAGTCTAATATTAATTCTTTAATAATTTAATTATTAATGTTTACAACAATTAAACAAATTTCATCATAAGATTTTTTAATGGGGTTATAATAGAATATTAAAAAAATATCTTTACAATAAATATACAAATTTTAATTGTTTAATAATTTAATTATTAATTCTTATAATAGCCTACACAGTTTACAGTTTTTTTTTCTTATAGCTCATTGCAAGCAGAAAATGTATAAATTAAACCTTGTTTTACTGTCAATATTTTACTATTTTATATTATTTATCAATATTTTATTACAACTGAAATAAAATATTGATTCTCTTTAACATTTCTTTACTTCAAAATTGATGAAGCATTATAGAAAACGGCAGTGCATCACAACAACAGCAAACTGTAGGATCGTAAGATCATTGAAAGAGAGCATAATATTAATTATAAAATGTCTGTAAAACATAATTATTACTGGCATGACACATTACGACATAGATTCCATTATCAATTCAAAGTTCCAAGTTTGTAAATCCTTCAATTTTGTATACAACATATATACGTATAATAGTAAATATGTTTCTATCATTATGTCTGTTAAGAAAATTTTTAATTTGTGGCAAAGAATTATTTTTCTTCCGAAAAGAGTCTATTTTAGAAGAAAATCCATTTTTCTTAAAAATATTTATTTAAAAAAAATATCTATCTTAAAATATTTTCCGTTTCCTTTTTTTTTCCTAAATTTTTTAGTTCCACATTTATAGAGACATGTTTTCTACAGACATATTATGACTCTGTGTGTGTGTGTGTGTGTGTGTGTGAATTTGTATGTATATATAACAATTTTCTTACATATTGTATTATATTTAAATGCACAAAAACATTATGTATTTTACTTTTATAATAACAATTTTAATCAAAAAATTTGTAACTATAAGAATTACTGGGTTGTGTAATAAGTATTTTCGGATTTTTTAAATAAAAATATCTCTTTTTTTTGTCAAATAAAGTACAATTTAAATAATACGTAAATTAAATATTTGTTTGTCGAAGATGTAATTAAGTTTTGTCTGTATCTGTAATTTTTTAAGCGTGCTACTTAAGGAACAATAATACCATCTTTCTATTGGAAAATCCGAAATTACTTATTACATAACTTAATAGAATAAGCTTTCTACTAGAGATCTATAACTTTCAAAACGATTGACTCAAAGTTGCATTTGTTATATGGCGTAAAAAAAATGATTCCTATATAATTATAAGTATTTCTTAATAGAACGCATATGTAATAGAAGACTTTAAAAGGCACTGTTTATCGGCCGTTATTGAAACAATTGTTTTAAAAGCGTAGACTCCATAATTATAACATGTAATTTATTCTATATAATCGCACACGTAATGGCAGTGATGGTTCATACATTATGTCATGTGCTTTTTTTTTTTCATAGATTATCACTATTAAGACTAAACGAATTTAAAGTAAATCGGTGGTATAATACCACGGCTCACATAGTCGTGCGTCATATGTCTAGATTAGTGCTGCCAGTAATATAAACCTAATTTTTTTCCATATCCGAGTATATTGATAAGCGCAATCTGCGTAAATTATATTTATATCGATATATATTTTATCGATGTCAAAAGAATCATAAATAATATCCTAATAAAAAAATGGTTTTTTAAATATTCAACAATCTTGAATATATGTTGCATCTTTTGTGAAAAGAAGTCAAAGAATTCAAATAACCAATTTGAATGTTTCTTGGGTAATTAGATAAATACTGTTATCAAAATTTTTAGATTATTTATGTATATCTTATGATAATCCGTAAATCTAATTTGTACAATAAAATCGCATAAATATTATCGGGTAGAATAAAGTTTGTTCGGATTATTTTAATTCTGTCAATGAATGACTCAAAGCTGTTGGAAAATGATTCAAACACAAGAAATTGTTATCAGAAATTTAAAAGAAAAGAAATGTCAAAGCTAAGTATATGGATATACAAGTTATTAAAATTAATGAAACATCACGCGGTGTAAGATATGTAATAAAATCCTCTGTTTCAAATTTTTATACAACCTAAGGAAACTTACGTACGCAACATAGAGATGGAAAAAAATAATAATCATTCCTTAAATAAACATTGTATATGGAAATGTGGATATAGGTATGTGCTAGGGAATGAAAATGTACTTTTTAGTTTATTTGAATTACGCACTGCACCGCTCATACTCTCTATCAGGAAGATCAATTAGTTATTTTAGGTGCTACACTTATGTATGATAAAAGCACGAATATAATGCTCTTTCTGTTCCCGGCAATTGTACCGTGTACAAATGTCTTTTCTTCCTCACAACGTATTCCGTAGACCAAATATTACAAAAGTATGGATATACGTATATAGGTATACAAAGTGTTTCAGAATATTAGGATCAATGCTCATCAATGAATCTAAACAAAATCCAAACAAACTTTTGGTTCAACCCAATAAGAATCAATATAATTAACTTATTAAGAATCAGTACAATTTAGCTGAGTAACATTTTCAATGGCATATTTGCAAACGCTATAATCGCTCTTCGATTTATGTCAAGAAATGTCCGGACAATTAAGTAAAGTATCTGAAACATCTAAATATATATATCCGTATTGGCAGCACTAGTCAAGATAGATAATGATATAAACTCTATATCTCTATATGATTCGTCCTAATTTAATACATGTACGTATACAGGGTGTCCTGGAATTTCTGTTCTTGTTTCTATATAATATAGTTATAAAGCTTTCCAAACAAACTTTTCACAAAAATGATATACTTCGATGTATAAGCATTGTACAGCGATATAAGCATTATACAGCATACATTAATTGGTGAAAAGACTACGTTGTGCACAAGAAAAGTAAGTTCTTTTTCAAATTTAATTTTTGATACGTTTCAAGAATTTTTGAGTTATACTGATATTGGTGTGTTTTTTAATCAAATTAAAATCCTCATTTTTCTAACAAAAATTTAATTGAATGTCATCATTTCATGAACTTTAAATTTAAATGTTTGAATACTCAATTATAAATATCTTTTTTTAATTATCCATTTTGCATTGCTAAAACTTAATATATAAACGTTTTTAAATCATTAGTCACTTAACGTAAAACTATCGATGTTACAAAATCTCCATTAAGAAAAAATTCACTTTAAATTAGCCAAATAATCTCATAAAAAATAGTCGGAAAAGTGTTTAAAACACTCTATATATACAGCAGTTGCAGTAAACCCCACTTTATTTCCCGGTGTGTATACATATTAGAGAGAGAGAGAGAAAGAGAGGGGGGAGGAAAGATTTAAAATAAAATTTTATTGAAAAACATTTAACTTTCTACGAGATGGAAAGCATAATTCTGCTGCTTTGAGTAAAGGGACATAAATTTATGCTATCTTTTAATACAAAAGTTTTCTTATAATTTTTAAGACAATTTTTAGTAAATAAAATCAATTCCAACATGTTTAAAAAAAATAATTCTTATAATCAACGATTTAGAAAATAAATTGGGGTCTGTCTGCTAAAAAATACTCTCGAGCGCATACATAATTCTGGAAATTCTTCGTCGGATTGCAACGCAAATAAAACAAATTATATGTAATGCAAAAAGTAGCTGTGACTAGGGAGGTAATACGTCCAATTTTAGGCCCGTCTTCGGTTTGCAGAAACCACAATAGCCGCCGCATTTACCGATGATTCGCTGGCTGCTCTAAAAATGTAAAAATAATGTATACGTGTACATTTTCTGAAAAATATTATAAAAACAGATGGAAAATTTTGCTTTTTTAACTCTGCTTCGATTTTACTGATAAACAAATAAGTATAAAAACATAAGTATGTCTAGGTTTCTTATTATGAAACGTTAAATTTAAATCAGTCAAAATTTTGGAATTCCGAATTGTATATCCAATATAATAATTAAAGATTCGAGCAATATATTTTATATAAAATATTTTTTAAAAAGTTTTAGAAATCTATAGCTTAAAAATTATAATATATAAATTTTATGATTTAAAAAATAAGAAACGAAAACCCTAACAAGAAAACAAATTTAAGTGTTTTCTTCAAACTTTGAATATGTTGCAGAATAACTACAAACAAGAAACACGTATTCTTTCATAAGTCTTTTCGGTAAGAGTTCCATATCCGTTCGATCCACGTTTGATTTTGATTAAATACAGGCATGTAGCACATATTAAATAAAGTCAAATAGTATAGATGTGCGGAATGTGCGTAAATTAGTTCTTGAAATACTCAAATTACCCGGCTTGATTCTTAAGATTTCTGTATTAAAAAATAATTAATTTCAAAAATATTTTCGTGAAATGTTCTTCTACACAGTACGTATATCCAGAAGACATCTCGAAGATATCTTTGAGAGATACGGTATCTTCGGAATGTCTTCTGAACGTCCTCCGGATATGCATACAGTATGGATTATTTCATTAGTGTGCTACCAGCTTGACAAAATATCATTATCAACAAAAAAACCGATATATAAAAAAATGCATTCTTGAACATGTAAAAGTTGAAGTTATAACGGTCTGTAATATGACGTAAAGAAAGAACGTTCGTTTGTTTGTTTGTGCAAATTACAAGGGGCGAGATAATAAACCTGATTGGTTATGCCATCTTACTACCCGCAAAATAAAACGCAATAAATTAAAAAAAAAAAGCGATGTGACAATGTTGCGTGTGACTGTACTGCGGATAGTAATGCAGTGTGCACGGGTACCCCCCTTTCCGTCCGATGCGGAAACCCTCCGCCCAGTTACACTCCCTCTTGTTATTTCTTTCTTCTATGGTTCGAAGAGAACGAGAAAAGTTTTGTGTGTATGTACATATATATATATATAATAAAATTAATAATTTAATATATATATATATATAC